ACGCGGATGGACGAGGGCCGCAGCAGGAAGTGCGGCGCCTGCTCCGCGCACGCCGCCCCGGCGTCCACTTGCAGCCCCACGGCCGCGAAGGCCTCGCCCACGGCGTTGCGCGCTCGGCACACGTACTGCCCGCCGTCGCCGAGCGCCAGGTCCAAGATGGTTAGGCGGTACACATCGCCGTCCTGCGCCAGGCGGAAGCGCGCGCCCGCCTCCACGGGCTGCCGGTCCTTCTCCCAGCTCACGTGCGGCGCGGGGTTGCCCACGATCTGGCAGCTCAGCGTGGCGTCCTTGCCCACGGACACCACGAAAGCCTTGGGCCGCGCGAGGAAGCGGGGCGCGCCGCTGAAGGAGGCGGGGTCCATGGCGGGGACCTGCGAGGAGGGTGGCAGGAGATGGCGCGGAGATGTGAGGTGACCCGCGCCCGGGGCCCCAAGGCCGCGTGGGGCAGTCACCGTGCGCTCCCGCCCCAGCTTTGGCAGGTGGCGCCGTGGTCCAGCAACACAGATTTGCCCACCCTTGGTCTTGGGGTTGGGCTCCTGACAAAGGACTGCCCACTTCCACTGTCCAGCACTCGTACCCCAGTCCTCGCCGCCCCTCCCCACCCGCGCCCCAGTGTCTGCACTGTCCCGCCTCCTGCACTGTCGCCCCCAGGGTCCAAATTTCACCCTGGCTGTGTGCCCCGCCAAGAGGAAGCTTTGCGGATCCCAGCCTTGCCCGGGTGCTAGAGGCCAACCGTGGCCACTGGCCCTGTCATTCATCTGTTGTACCTCGTGGTGAGGGCACTGTACCCCAGCCGCGTCTGCACCAAGCCTCTTCCCGGCCCTCCTGCCCGCAGGGTCCATCTTTTCTGTGTGGTCCCACACCTCCCTTGACCCTAAGTGGAACAGGTTCTCCTAGCAACACAAGTGTCCCTGCATGGAAGCAGGCGAGTGGGCGTTTCCTCAGGCCGTGTGGGAGGACCGCTGCAGGGTCCCTTGGCCTATGGGCGGCCCAGCCACTGCAATGGGTGCAGTGGGGTGGAGACTTCAGTCTTCCTGTGGTGAAGAGAGAATGCTGCTCTGTCCCAAGGCTGGGTGAGGACTGTGCTGCCTGCACCAGGTCTCCGGAAGGACTGTGGGCACCCAGGCACTCCCCCTGGTTCCAGGCAGTCAGGGCGCAGTGCCCACTCTGGGGCTGTCCAGCACCCATTTCGGTGGTTTGGGTACCTAATCCCTTAATCCAGGAGGCCGGGCTTCAGCCGCTGCTTGCTGACTCACTGTGCAGTCAGCAGCTCTGGCCCGGCCCCACGGGCAGGGACCCCGTGTGCGAGGACCTAGCTGGGTCTGCTCCCTTCCCGGCACCTGGCAGGGCTGGGTCCACTCAGCCGTGAGGGACCCGAGCTGGGGTCTTCTGCACTTAGCACAACGGCAGCCAGTCTGCGGGGTCCCCAAAAGCAGAGCCTGAGCTGGCCCGGTCACAGATACATGGGCACGCATGTGGCAGAGCTTGCGTGCTGACCTGGGGGCAGTGCACCCTGCTCTGCTGTTCAAGGCCACGATGCCCCGCAAAAACACGTTGCCAGGTGGTTGGCAGATGCTGTGGGCCGAAGGTTCGTCCTCAGAGCTCCCAGGTGCCCTGCCACTCTCGAGGGGCCGGGGGCTGCTGTTTGTGTGCACTCCAGACCGCTCCCTCGGGCCTCCCATGCTGCAGACTAGGACACTGAGGCTGCCCAGAGCCTCCAGGAAGCCTGCCAGAGACAGCAGCCTCGTCCTTCGCTGCCATTTTGGGCTAGAGGCCATGGGTGGGACCCTCAACACTGCAGGAGCCTCTTTAGTCAGGGAGCCCATCCTCCCAGAAAGGTCCCTGTGCTCCTGGAAGCCCAGCTGGGGAGCCACCTTTCTCCCATGGCCATGTACTGAGGACCCTCAGCCCACAGAACCTTGGCAACCCCTGCACCCAACTTGCACAGCTCCCAACCCTGCGGGCCCCACAAGGGGTCCAGCTGCTTGTCAGGGGGAGCTGGAATGGGGGCCTGGAGCCCCACCCCAAGACCCTCCAGGATGCCTGAGCCTCACCTTGGACCCCTGGCTGCCAGCGTCCCCACTCGGGAAATTCTTTCCTGGAGTCAGGTGTCACTGCCCCTCTGGCTGTCCCCTCTGCTGAGCCATGGGCCCAAAATAGTCCCAGCTGTCAGCGGGCATCTATCTCAGCAGTGCTGGGGGCAGGGCTGCCCGACCCCCAAGCAACCCTAGCCCAGAAGAGACCAGGCACAGGCGACCCCTCATACCTGCCAGGACTGTGGACCAGAGCTGGAACCCGTTCCCTTTTCCAAAGCGGGGCACAGGCAGACCCCCTCAGCTCCTGCAGAGCCATAACCTTCAGCCCCATGCCCCAGCCCTGTGCCCCCTACTGCCCCCCTCCTCACCTTCTCCACGGGGACTTGGCAGGGACCTGGGTGGCAGAGGCCGCTGGGTCTGCTTGCCTTCTCGGGCCCAGGAGCAGCACGGTTCCCACCCAGCAGCCTACGGTCTGGCCGGTCTTCAGACTGCGCAGGGACAAAAGGACAGGCAGCGCTATCAGATGGAAAGGGCTGGGCCCGCCCCCACCCACCCCTGGCCAGCCCAGCCCAGTTCCAAAATAGCCCGCGAGTCAGCCCCTGGGATTCAGTTTCACCCTGGCCCCAGGGAGGCAAAGGGCAGAGGGGTCAGGGCGCAGCCCATGTCTTCCAGCAGCAACAGGGGCAGGGGTGAGCCCGGCCAGAGAGGGCCAGCCTGGCCGAACCCCACAGCTTCCTGCAGAACAGGGCAGGGGTCTGGGACACCCAGGACAGCTCCCAGGGAGCCCAGCGTGACTGACAGGGCCCTGGGCCGCCCCAAGCAGACCAGGACCATTCATGGTAATTGCCCAGCCCTGGGCCTGGCTGCATTGGATTTCCAGCCGTCCCCTGGACTCAGCCCAGCCCAGGAGCAGGATCCTGCAAGGGCACAGGGTGCCCAGGGTGGGGGTGGAAGGGCAGATGTGGGCAGCACACGGCCTGCCCTCATGAGCCTGCTGACCACCCCAGCCCTGAATTGCCAGCCCAGGGGCAGATGGGCACTGGACACTGCAGATACATGTGAGGAGAGAGGTTGCCTGGGATCCAGCAGCCACCAGGAGCCAGGGGGGCTGCCTGGGGGGCATCCTAGGGGGCCCTCACCCTGCAGGACCAGGCCTGACAGTGGGCCCCATCTAGGGGTGCAGCAGGAGTGTGGCTCTGAGGGAAACAGCCATGACCCCAAGCTGCACGGAAGGTAGGGGAGAGAGTGACCCCAGGAAGTCCAGTCCCTACCCTGAGCCAGCACTGTGGCTCTGTCTCTACGGTGACTTCTGGGTTGCACACAGCCTTCACATGGCAAAAGGAACAACTCCTCTGGGGTCCCCACCTGTGAGGCCCTCATCTACACCACCCCTGGGAGAGAACTCCAGGAGGAAGAAAAGATGGAGAAGAAGACGCCACCCCCAGCAGCAAGATGGAACCATGCAGGAGCATGCATGGGTGTGTGCTCATGGGCGCATGGATGTTCATGCATGAATGTCTACATGTACATATGCATAATCTGCACATGTGTGTATGTGTGTGGACATGCACATGGGATGGCATGTGTGCTCATATGTGTGTGCCTGCATGTGTGTATGCATAGCTATGGGCACATCCTGCATGGGTGGAGGCAGTTGTGGGAGCACCTGCCCCTTTGGGGCCAGGGCCACAGGGAAGAGGGCGTCCATGCTGGCAGCTGCCTGTGGGTCATGGCAAGAAGTGAGCTCCTTATAGCCCACCGGGGCCCCTGGGCTCCTGCCCAGCTCCAGCACAGCGGCCTCAGCACCCACAGCACCCCAGCAGCTCCTCTGTCTGCTCCTGTCTCCTCCCAGATCCCTGACGTGTGAGCCTCTAGGGCTCCTCCTCTGTTTTCTGTACCCCAGCAATGGATTTCTTACCTTTCTTTATTATTTTAACTGGTAAATACAGACATAGTCGTTATACATATTCACAGACTGCCGTGTGATGTTGCATCTTATTTCTTTTTCTTTTTTTTTTTTGTTTTTGTTTTTGTTTTTGTTTTTGTTTTTGTTTTTTTTCCAGTACCTGGAATCGAACTCATGACCTCGCACTTGCCAGGCAGGCACTGTGCCGCTGAGCTAAATCCCCAGCCCGCATCTTATTTCTTAAAGAAAGAATGCTGCTCACAGGTGTTCTGAAGGCTGCAGTCACCCAGGACTCCGGGCATCTTCACACCACAGGGCCGTGGCACCTGACACCCACTAGGGGCCTTCAGTGATGGTTCTAGGATCCTGCACGGAACCACAGACACCATTTGAGGAGGCCACAGAGCAGAACGGGCATCAAGGACACTAATCAGAACGGGCATAGGTTGCATCTGAGCTTTGGAGCACAGTTCTCACAGGAAGCTGGCATGAGCAGTGACATGGTGCATTTTCAGATCCTTCCAAAATCCGCTTGGGATGAAGAGGCCGTGAGACCAGCACTGCCGATGGGGGTCCGTGGCCACAAACCATCAAGAAATGATGCAAGGGAGACACAGCGGCCAGGACACAGTGGCCTGGAGGGAACCC